TAGTATTGGAAACAATGCCCCCAAGTATGGAACTTTGGTCCCTAACAGGTGAGAAAAGACGGCATTTTTAGTGTTGTTACTATATTTTTTGCTATGATTATTCTTAGTTATTATTATTACTAGTACTAGTAGTGTGGTAATGATTTTAGTAAGGTAATATTTTTTTCATTATTATTGTTATTATTGTTACTGCTAATACTGTTACTTTAATTATCATTATTATTATTGTCATTATTATATATTTAGTTGAATTTTTAGTACTTTAGTTATTTATTGTTAATATTTTTTTACTATTGTTGTTATTGATATTATTAGCAGTAGTAGTAATATTGTTATTAATTATATTATTATTATTATTATTTAAAGTATTGTTATTATTTTGTTTTAATATTTTTATTTTGGTGGTAGTAGGCAGCCCACTGATGCTGTTCTTATTTTCGTTGATGTTATTCTTTCACTGTTATTTTCATTATTATTATTTACTATTATTTTATTATTATTATTATTTATTATTATTATTATTATTATTATTATTATTGTCATTAGTATTAGTTATGCTTTTGTTGTTGTTATTATTGTTTTATTATTATTATTATTATTATTATTATTATTATTATTATTATCATCATTATATCATGTTTGTCCATTCGCATCATTTCATGTCAGACCTGAAAGTATATTCCATGTGATTTGGATTTGAAGTTTGTTCATTTTGATGTGAAAATGGCTTCTTAAACCAAGAATCATATTGTGTGTGCCTTGATGGAAAATGGAGGGTAATGAAACCATCCTTATTGAAGAAAGAGGCACTCCTCATCCACTCACTCACTCACCCACCCAAACACACACACACTTGCACCACCCACTCACTTTGCTCAACACTTCACCACACCACTCACCCACATACTTGCCCCCCCACTCCCCACATACTTGCCCACCACCACCCACATACTTGCCCACCCACTCACCCACATACTTGCCCACCCACTCACCCACATACTTGCCCACCCACTCACCCACATACTTGCCCACCCACTCACCCCAATACACTTGCCCACCCACTCACCCACATACTTGCCCACTCACTTGCCCACCCACTCACTTGCCCACCCCCACTTGCCCACCCACCCACTTGCCCACCCACTCACTTGCCCACCCACTCACTTGCCCACCCACTCACTTGCCCACCCACACTGCCCACCCACCCATTGCCCACCCACCCACTCCCACCACCTCACCCACTCACTTGCCCACCCACTCACTTGCCCACCCACTCACCCACTCACTTGCCACCCCACTCACTTGCCCACCCACTCACCACTCACCCACTCACTCACTCACTCACTCACTCACTCACTCACTCACTCACTCCTCACTACACCCACTCACCCACCCACCACATTTAAGGAGGATTTGGGAATGAGAAGGGATGGCAGAGTACAAGAAGGAAATGTAGAAGAAAAGGGGAGAGGGGAGGCAAAGGGTAAAAATTGTAGGGTGAAGATGGGAGAAAGAAGTAAAATCTCCATGGGTCTGTTGGCCATATTCACAATCAAAGCGAAGCCCTCTGCGATGGGAGTTTGTGAAGGCGATTGCATTTTTGTGCCCACAGTGGAGGCATTGTGACGGAGGTCGGCGCTGATTGGCTCTCAGGACCTGACTTTGCGATGGTTAGGTTCTGAGAGCTAATCAGGGGCGACCTCCGTCACATTGCCTCGACTGTGGGTACAACAATGTGATTGCCTTCGCAAACTCTCATTGCAGAGGGCTTCGCATTGATTGTGAATATGGCCATCAATGCTGTTTTTAATTAGTATTATTTTTATTGTTAGTGTTAATGTTGTTATTAATTGGGTTCAAGTTGGCCAAAGCAATTCAGACATCGAAGGAAATGGACACCACCATCTATTAGAGCATAAAAAAGTCATAAACAACACAGGTATACCTACAGCGGCTTCATATTTACCATGAAATGATGAAAATATCCGCTGCATATCACCGCTCAGAGGCTGTTCTTAATGTCCGTTTTCTACAAGTTGGCACAAAATGCTAATCAATAGGGGGTTCAGGGGGGTTTGCCCCAAGTTTAGTGAATAAATATAAGGTAAAAAAGGATAGGTTGGGTCTTCGGGACTTTGACTCTGGAGGGTGCATCACTTTCAGTAACCATTACCATTGATTGTTAATAATTGTTGATATAAATTGTTATTGTTATTGTCATTATTATTATTATTATTATTATTTATTATTTATTATTGAATGTTATTACTATTACTATTATTATTCTTATTGTTCTTATTCTTATTCTTATTATTATGAATTATTTCTTAATAATTATATTTATTATTATTGTTATTAGTTATTTATAATGATTGATGATGCACATTGTTATTATAATTCTTCTACTACTACTGCAGATTATTGTTATTATTAATTATTATTGATTGATCAATGATAATAATGACAATCATCAGCATCATTATCATTATTACCTTTATTT